TCTTCGGTCTCACGCCCAAATTCCATGACGACTTTTCAATCCGCTGCGAAGTAGGTCCTGGCTAAACTCAGATCCCTGCGGCTGACGGCCTCTCCTTGTGTTGGTGGTTTCCACCCGACTCTTGTGAGCGTGCGCTACAGCTCTAGTTTTCCCCCTAGCGGACCTGTACACCCACTACTTCTTGCAAGACAAAGTTCCCAATGATTGGAAATGTGGGACTATTACACCAATCTACAAAGGTGGTACTCGCAACAAACCGGCCAATTACCAAACGATAATCCTCCTCTCTACGATCCCCAAAGTGTTGGAATCAATCATTGCAGACCGTTTACTGGACCACATGGAGGCCCAGAAACTTCTCTCAGATTGCCGGCACGGCTTTTGTCGGCAACGGTCGTGTCTGAGTAATCTACCACTTGCCAGGGATAGCTGGACGACTGCTGCAGACTCTGGCCCAGAAACGTGTGTCATATTCTTGGATTTCGCCAAAGTATTCGACAAGGTCGACCACAGTATTCTACTGCAGAAACTAGTCTTACGGGGCTTTAGGGGCTTTGATGGACTGGATCCGGAACTACCTCCAAAACCGTACCGTCCAAGTACGCATCGACCGAGCACTGTCCCCCCGTATTCTTGCCACAAGCGGAGTTCTACAAGGGTCTGTTCTCGGACCGGACCTCTCCCTAGCCATCATTGATGTTGTCACACCGCAAGTGAAGTCTTCGCTGTTGCTATATGCAAATGAAGCGAAGCTGTGGCGCACAATTAACGTTCCGGACGATTTCCACGCACTTCAGACGGACCTCGATCGTCTACATCAGTAGTCAATTGAAAACGACCTTCCATTTAGCGTTTCGAAATGTCGCATCCTTTCGACCCGCTCTTCCGCTACTTCCCATATATATTTCCTGGGAGCGTCTATCCTCCAGATCTCATCAGCCGAAGGAGACTTGGGTATCATTACTCAGACGTATCCGCTTCCTACCGGAAAGCAACTTCTGTTGTTAACCACATGTTGTGATTGCTGAAAAGAGCCTTCGGCTAAATTGATGCTAGCAATTTCCGCCTCCTCTTCAACACTTTTCTCCGACACCACTTAGAGTTCGTTATTCAGGCTTGGAGCCCATGGTCGCTGAAGGGCCAACGTATGGTCGAAACCCGACAAGGTCGAGCAAAATAATGGTTCCGAGGTCTCAAACACGTAGATTATTCACAACGACCTCTCTGCCTGGGCCTCTACTCGCTTAAGTGCCGACGTCTCCGGGGTTATCTGACCCTTCTATTTAAGAACTTATCCAACCCTGAACATCGTTGCTGCCACCTACCCAAACTTAACCAAGTGTGCTCCCCCCTAGGTGGCCATCCACTGAGGCTCACACATCAGCACAGTCGGCTGAACTGCAGACGACACTTCTTCACTTTGAAAATCTACCGACCGTGGAATTCTCTGCCTGATGATTTAGTCTCAGCACCTAATGTGGCGGATTTTAATAGACCCGCCTGGATTGTCATTTGGCCAAGCCACACCGCAAAATTCCCTGAGACAACTACCTTCAACTTGATGAATTTCCTCTTCTTTTTGCTCTTCTACCTAATTCCTTTCCATAGCCGTTTCGCAGGGCGTGATGGGATGTCACTCTTCGAGCCGAGGTGCATTCTGTTTAAATGCCACATAAGCCCGATGTAGATACGGCTAACACGCGAGTCCAACCCGCTATAAGGTTGCTTGGCGCTTCATCAGACCCGACCCTAACACATTTTACCAAGTGGGTCATGTAAACCTCGAGCTTTTATCCCCAATAAATACAGTGCTCCAATGCAAAATAAGTGGAAGCAGGTCACTTGCACATTGAAAGTGAACGTGGAAACTTGCCGCAACTGGATACGAGTGTGCGACTCGAGAGAACCGATGGGGAACCATGCGTACGTCGGTCGCGGAGCATTTGTAGAATGCCACGTCGATTCTCTTGTGGAGTGAGTGTCTTCAGAGCCTGCCATAACCCTTGAACTCCTTCGTTTGTGGTTGAAGCTAGCCTTCGAAATTGCAGCAAGTAGCAGCATCGTCTCACCATAATTGGATGGTAGACTGATAAGACTGAAAAGGTTGCAAACCACTCCGGAGTACATGAACACGCTGGAGAAAAAAGCGACGCAGGTCATTTGTTCTGCAGCTCATGAATTACGTGGTGGAAGGAAGGCAACCGGTGTGGATTGATGAGAACAACTTCAATTTAGTTTGCGCCAACACTCATGGCCGCTCACGACGTGGTATCCGAACGCAGTGCATACCGGTGAACAACCGGGGACCGAATGTTCATCCTGTCGTCTCCATGACCAACGACGGCTTGCTAGCGTGTTCTGTTTTCAGAGGAAGTTACAACAAACAAAGTTGCGCTACGTGGCTATGACAGATGCTTGATACCAACGGAGCAGGGTTTGTTGTAAGGTGCCTTTTGGTTTGCGACAAAGAACCGTTGGCCGTAAGTAGTTTGAACCGCCAACCAACAGCTTAGGCCCCTGAGAGATGGGGACAGCCCCGGGCCGTAATTAGTTGCAAGCTGACTGCGCGTCTTATCCGCCAAGGCCATGCAACCTAACGTGAGTTGAAGCGGCCCCAGTTGGCCCTGATTGACACCACATCCACTAACATTGGCTATGTGCGACATAACATTTAGAAACTGTTAGGACGGAAATATTGATGTAGTCATGATCAGGGGAGTTGTTATGTCATTAAAGGAGATATCTTCGCCCCAGTATCCAAATCAAATAGCCCTCTACATCAAAACCCCTTCGATGAGTACGCAACCACATTTGGCCAAAGTATGTCTACCTCTCTCCTGGCCACATCAATACATCACATAACGTTTCTTTTCATCCAAAAATGTCAATTCCTAAGCTTATCTGTTCATGAATGAGTCCTTAGTTGATGACTGTTCAAGCAAATGTGGTTGGTGGCCGGTATCGGACAGTGGCATGAGCAACGTAATGACTCACTGCCAACACGATATAGTGGAATTCAGCCTTCTATTGTTTTGTGCGCATGGCATACATCACCTTCGAGCGGTAAAAATAAAATCAGTGAAATCTGCACACTATAGCCTGGGGTAAACAGTCATGCATCGGGATCAAGCTAGTGGTGAATCAATCCCGTCAAATAAACCATGATTTTTTCAGAATTACGTGGTACACTGCGTCATCAAGTTCTGCAAAATAGTGACAAGAGCGAGTTAAAAAGTGGAAAGACGAGATTAAAACACAGGTCACACAAAGTGGTTTGAAGAACAGCTACACAAAATGTATTTGATTAACAGTTAAATCAAGAATGTGAATGCTTCCCACTGACTGCTTGAAATTCGTTTCGGTTCTGAGCAAATGCGGACATGGTGACAAGATCGCTAGAACACTTGTTGAGTTAACATATTATTCCAATGAAAATTTGGGAGCTACATTTGAATTTGTACGCACCAATGTTAACCAGACGTGTCCCTGTGTTTCGAGGTATATTAATATTTTGAATATAACACGGCTGTCTACGGCAGCGTTGTTTGGATTACTCCACAGATGAACAAAATCTTAGAACTCATTTCTTGAGATCAATCATGCAGTCGATCGACGCAACCCATGCACTGAATGGTTTATTGCTGAGCTGCTTCACTTGTGAGAGTACCACCGTTACTTGCTCAGCCACACGCACATTCACCAGTATAAATACAAAAGACCAAGGATCGATAGACAAGGAATACTCAACATGATAGGTCAACTCTATTTATTAGTGAATGAAGCGTACTAATTTTGGAAGCCCAGGCCATCCACGATTCGGAGTGTGGTTCTCAGCTAATGTGAGTGCATTCCGTCCCACGGATTTACCATATTTGGCAGATGGGTTCGCCGCCTTTGACGCGGGCTTGTATTTACTGGCCAATCGATTCGCATCCGATTCCCATATTTGGCGGAAAGATCGAGGGTCGTTTCACACCCAGGCTGATGAGCTTCACGTGCAGCAGACAGCTCACGTGCTACACGGTAAGTCTGCGCACAACCTAGTATCAGGACATTGGCTCCGCTTACCATTCTATAACCCCTCCTTCGAATTGATTGCTGCTACCTATTTTCTGCACTTGGGCTTGGTCGTAGCTTTTTACCCTGGGATCCACTTGCAGCCATCGCGGTTTCCTTCTTCTTCAACTTGGCCTGCATGATGGGTCGTGTGGCGCTTGTGCGACTGGCTGTGTTCCGCTTTAGCGATCAGTTCCGTTTTCCAAACTAAAGGTATCTAGTAGTACGTCCCACTGTAGTGCTGCTGGTTCTTGAGGTCCTTGAGTGTTTCCATGCTGCGGTCGCAGGTGATTGAGGTGCCTGGTCCACTTGTCCTTGCCGACCATTTCCCATTAATAACTTTACCCCTCTTACCAATAACTTTTCCGCTAGACCATTTCCCTGGGGTCTGGAAATTTCAAGCGTACACCAACTTGCCGAGCTTGAACCTACGAAGCCTGCTCCTCTCTCGTTTGTCCCTTGCGTTTTCCAACATTTCTGGGGATCACGCTATCAATTATCGCTGCACTTTTTGTCCAATAGATGTTCAGCAGAAGATTTGCTCTCCGGTGTGTTTGGATTCGGCGTGATTCCACACATCATCAAAAACGGTTTATTTGCCTCTCGTGACATCCTTTTTGCTTCCGCTTTGAAAAGAACAAGTTCGATCTTCGCATTCGATGGTGGCTAGTACTGCGGCGAAAAAATGCGTTAGATTCCGTTTTGCATGCAAAATTCTCGGGACAGCGTTGATATGAACTGTGCTCCGTTGTTCGTAACCAGTATTTCCGGTGTGCCAAAATACTGGAACAGTTTGTTCAGCTAATTGGGTGTGCCGGACAGTGATATTTTGCATCGAAATCACGTCTACCGATTGTGTGTAGGAATCACGAAAAGTCAGGTAAAATTGACCGTTGATTGGTCCCGCATAACGCAAGTCGAATCACTGCTAGGGCTTCTCCGACTCAGGACAAAGTTGCCGCGAACAGTTTGGAGGGGGCCTTTGCCGCTTGAAAAAATGTTTCACTACGCTGGCAAAACTGTTCGAATTCTGAATCCCTCTGAACCCAATACACAAAACTTCGCGCCGGCGCCTTCATTCCGCTGGTTCCCCGATGTCCTGAATGAAACTGCTGTAAGGTGCGCTTCCGCAATTTCCTTGGTACCACGACTCGGTCTCCAAATATTAGACAATTGTCAAGGACCGAAAGAGATCCGCGCCGATGGAGGAAAGGTCGTAACTCAGTCGAAAGTATGACATTAGGCCAACTGGACTGCACAAACCCCATCAATTGCAGTAAGATTTTATCTTTTGCCGTCACCGCACAAATTGTGTCCGAACCTACTAGCAACTCCCTTACGCTGTCAACCAGGATCCGCTGAACTTCCGACTCGAATTTGACAGGTGCGATCATGCAGTCATCGTTTTCCTTCAAGTGGGAACTGATGAAGCGAGATAGAGGGTCAGCATCGCTGCGTTGTTGCGTAGATCGGTATTGTATACTAAAATCGTAAGCCATCCCTGTATCCGACTTGCTGTGAAAACAGAAATACACAAATCCAAACATCGAGAGTAAAGATTTGTGGTTCGTGATCAGTTTGACATGTCCACCATACAGCATCTTTCGAAACCGTTTCACTGTGAAAACAATCGCCAGCGCTTCCTTCTCAATCTGGCTGTAATTTTTCTCCGCCACTGTCAGCGACCGTGCTGCGTGAGCAATGGTCTTCTCTTCTCCACCTGGAAACACGTGGGAAATGGCAGCACCTATCCCAGATTTGGAGGCGTTCGAAGCAACAACAAGCTCCATGTTTGTGATGAAGTTTGTAAAGGGTAGATCAGCACTAAGCGCTGCCTTAACTCTATCGAAGGATTATTGGCACGCCTTTGTCCATCACAGTGCTTTCCTTTTCATCAATGACTCCTTCAGAGGACCTCTTGTCCGATGTAGACTTGGCAGAAATGCACTATAATGGGTTACAAGACCGAGAAAGGAAGGAAGTTGGGCAACATCTTTTGGTGGTATCATCAGCTTATCGGTTTCTATAGTAGCGGGATCCGAACGCCGGACATGTTTATCAATGATGCACCCAAGAAACTTGACACCATCCATGAGGAAATTGCATTTTTTCACTCGTAACCTGAAGCCAGTTTCTGCTAAACGTGAAAGCACTTTCTCTAATGTGGTCAGCAAATTTTGTTGGTCAGACCCCATAATCAATGCGCCATCCAAATATGCTGCGGCCCCAGGGATATCGTTCAGCAGCGTATCCATGATTCGTTGAAAAATAGCGGGAGCGGTTTTCACTTCGAATGGCAAATGATTGTACTGAAAAACATTCGTGTTAACCGTCAGTAGTATTCGGCAGTTCTTGGCTACTGGAACTTGTAGTTAAGCATCAGCTAGATCGCAAACCATTTACCACCGTCAAGCGTGCTGCACTACTCTTCAGGTCTAGGCAAAGGATACTTGTGATTCACCAACATGGAATTTAAGCCGGTTGAAAGGTCTACACAAATAGGTACCTTGCCATTTTCTTTCTTCATCACAACGATAGGAGTCGCCTATTCTGATTTATGTACGCGCTCGATGTTGCCTTCCGACTGCAGACTATTTAACTCAGACTTCAATAGTGATTGGGTTGTGTACAGAACTGGACGTTTAGATCTAAAAACTGGTCTGGCGTCTGGTTTGAGGTTCAGCTCCAATCTGTCTATCCGGTAGCATCCAAAACCGAGTTGAAACAAACCTTCGTGGCGTCGCTTTAATTCTTCAATTTGACTGTAAGGTTCGAGGTTCATATTCGGCGTCTGTGCGGTTTCTCGACTTGTAATTTCTGACATATACTCTTAGTTGACTGGTCAAGTAAGTTCAATTTCCCCATTCTAATCGAGACACAGCAAATACAATCCTGGATGATCTGCCACAAAGCAGGTTCTACGCATGTGCTGATCGCGGAAACAAACCCGACAATGCAACTCTCCGAGTAATTTCAAGATACCCCGAATGCGTTTCGTGCTGCGTGGTCTGTGTGGAAAAACAGTGGTCCTCTTAGCATACATCATGTGTCACGACAAATCCCAGTGATGTCTCTCGCAATATACAGTCGCTGCTTAACGTCTTTATCATTGATCTTCAACAGTGTAAATTTAGGCCTACTGGCTCCGTCAACCTTGAAAGTCGCCGTCACAGTTTTGGTCTCGTCTTGACATTGGGAACTCAACGGGATTCGACACCGTTTTCCGCCCACTGTTAGTCGCTTCGCAAGACAACACGATTCTCTGTGTGCTCGCTTACCACAGCGATTGCAAATATGATTCCGGAACCGGCAATTTCGAACAAAGTGACGTTTCCTGCAAAACCAATTAGCAGAAAGGGGTTTCGAATGTGATGAACTCACATGAACCGCTTCTTTCTGAGGATTTCGACTGACCCTGCAAGTGATATCCTGGCTACTAGTGGTGAACGACTGTTGCATCATAGCAGCATCATGTTTCAACTGCATCAAACTTTGGCATTCGTTCATCGCTGCCTGCAGTGTGACCTCAGGATTTTGCTCAATTCTGTTTAGTACTCTTGTTCGGGCATCAGCATCTTTGGGCGCTTGAAGACCATACACATAATTAAGGCACTTGTAATGATCACCTATCATCTAGTGGAACAGCGACCGTTCACACTCACGATTCACGCGACTCGAGTAACTAACTCAGTCATCACCGTCTTGTTTTGTCATTGTCGGGCACCTGTATCGGATATTGAATAGTGCCGACTGCTCTCCAAATATCTGCGACAAAGTAGCAACCACCTCATCACATGTTAAATCAGTGCTCCTATTCGGGAAGCTAAAATTCATGGACGTTTCATACTCGACCGCGTCCAATTTCCGCACCATGAAGCGAACTCACTTGTCCTCTGAGACACCGGCTAAATCAACGCGAAACAGGTCTTCGTATTCATGGAACCAGGATTCAAAGTCTATACCGGCATCGGCATCGTAACGGAATTCACAACCTTGCTGGTAGAAGTTTCTGTTGGGAGCCAGTTTCACTTACTCCTGTTACCTAGCCTGATGTAGTGACAAATTCTTGGTCAGAGTTTCGATCAACTTGGACCGTGCTTTCTCAAACTGCGCTTGCTGCTGCATCAACATAGCATGAAATATGTCAAAACGGATTGTCATCATTGGATTCTTTTGGTTTCGCCGTCGCCACTGTCGTACTGCTACTTTGTTCACCCATGAGACTATGACAAGCTGTCCGCTCGGCCACGCGCCCGTCCACCCTATAGAAATACAAAAGACCAAGGACCGGTAGACAGGGAATACTCTACAGGATAGGTCAACTGTGGATTCGCCTGGCATGAAGAAGCTCTCGTGTCAAGGGCGAAAAGTTGCCACAGTAAAACCTTACCAAAACCGATTTGTATTCAAAACCTTCAGAAATCATGAAATCCCAGTCGGTCCCAAGCATATTCCGAGATAGGTCGACTCTAGTTATTAGTGAATGAAACTTACTAATTTTTGAAGTTCAGACCACCCACGCTTCGGAGTCTGGTTCTCAGCCAATATGAGTGCATTCCGTCCCACGGATTTACCATATTCGGCAGATGGAATCGCCGCCTTTGACGCCGGCATGTATTTGCTGACCAAGCGATTCGCATCTGATTTCCATATTTGGCGGAAGGGTCGAAGGTCGTTTCATAACCGTGCTGATGGGCTTCACATGCCGCAGACAGCCCACGTGCTCCGCGGTACGCCCGCGAGCAACCTCGTATCCGGACACTGGCTCCGCTTTGTTCTCTAGTAGTGACATTAGCTATTGTAAGATAACTTTCCGCGATTTCCGGTCAGCTCTGTAGAAGAGCCAACATTATATTGCAAAATTGTTACACTTGGTTATACTTTTCACACTAGGCCTCAGATTACAATAAGGCGATTATTTCGCACTTTTACCGCCCTAGTAAGATGTATGTGTTGCGTTTTAATGCAACTACAGCATTTGAAGGAAATATTTGACGGTCTGTTTATTAGTTAAACGACCAGCATTATAGCTTACTTCCCAAATACTTTGTTTGCATTCATCTTCAGGCACTCCTTTGTAGATTCCCAAGCTTGGATGGCATGTTTTGCACAATCGTGCACATTAGATTTCAGCGTTAATATTCGCTGCAACCGATGTATTTTTTTGTACACGTTGCTGCCAGGCTAGAATATCTCCAAAATTAATGGACTCATATTAGTATATCAAAAGCACACTCTGAGGATGGGCCCTGATTTGTGGTAGCCCAGACTAGATCGCAAATGACAACTTGATCCTATCCACAGGGAAAATCAACATAACCACTGCAGTCCTTAATACGTCTTTGGTGTTTCGTAGTCATGCATAACTTCGTGCATCCCTACGATTTGATGCCACAAACGGAGATATGAAACTGCGAATAGATCATACTGGCAAACTTATGCACAAACAGCAGAAACATGCTCAGTCCTAGCACTCCAGTCACTTAGTGCATCGCAAGCGGTTTAAAAGGACTGGAAACAAGTTGTCTAATGTTTTCTTTGGGTTTTCCTTTAATACAAATGATTGTGCTTCACCTCATAACCAACGTATTAACGGTAATTACGAAAATACAGCAGAACACGTTAATTACGTCTATTAAATCTGTGTAAGATATCGTGTATATGGCATAGATTTTCAATCCGTAATGGAGCAATTTGATTCCACAAACTCATAAGATAGTTTGTGACATGACGTCGTCATTCCTTGTATTCTTATCAGTCCCAAACATGTAGGTTTGATAGATAAACCAAAACAAAATGAGAAACGATCGTACATGGCAAGGCGCTCGCACTTCCAAGGTAGGCTTAGAGCTGCAGTCAACTGTTTTTGAATGCACAGCAGTGGCATTCGCTATCGATAACGATGGTCTCCAGTTGACTAGAAATGTGGGACCGTTGATCGCGTATTAGGACTGTGAACGACTCCTCCACATTGCCCAGTGGTGAGTAGGTACCTTTTGACTACCAATGTAGCTCGGTTTCCCGACTCAGTTGATTCCATCATCACAGATCCCATTCTACTGCCTAGCCACTTGAGGATGTGTTCCTTGATTCTACGACCTAAATTTAGGTAAGTGTGCCCAATATTATCTGAGTGAATTGGTGTAGACAGTGCGACATGTACTACCTTATCGTTGTTGTCTGGATTGAGTAAAAGTATATGTCTCGTAGAAATGAGAAGCTGCAACTCTACCATATTGTGCGTTTTTTGAATGAAACACATTCGTTTCTCGGTAACCATCATAAGGTGGTCAATTTTGAAAGGCAGCTCAATAGTGATGGTGTGTCGACTTGTACTACTCCGTGATCCACGTGGTCATTCGATCTCCATTGAAATTTCGCAGCTACAGCCCTCATGACCAGCTTCGCCAGAAGCAGAACAATTTCGCCTTGCTTACAATGTACACAGCACTGTGAATGTAGTTATTTCATCTGCTTACAACTCTGATATAGTTGGCGTATTCGTTGTCTTCCTGACTTCCTAGATCTGCTATACACTCAAGGCAACTGGTTTGGTCAAGCCTATGCGAATGCTGACAAGGTGTCAACCGAGCCTAGGTCGTGACCTGGAGTGTCCTGCGCAAGTGCCTGACAATTCTTAGTATGATTATGAAAGAAAACTGTTAACAGATAAGCGACATGCTTTGTCTGGCTGATGGTTTTGAAAAACTTGCCATTAACTAAAACACTTCAAGACCATTTGAGTGTTCTCCTCGCTCGAGCAAAGGAGGCATTATCGCCTCTTTGAAAAACGCTGGAAATGTATGCCCAGTGCATCTGACGGCGGACATTTTCCCCGCTCCCAATTCTCGTTACAGTCACGGAGGAACTGATGGATGAAGGCTTGATTGTTTATGCCAGTCATTTACAGCACCTCCGAAAAAGATGAATGAGATGTTTCATGACCTGATTGTTATAGAACTCCTGATCTGAATCTCAAATCCATTAGATGTACAGCCTTGCGAGGCAGCAGCTAAAATCTAAGAAAGTCGGATAAAGCTCCAGTGACACATTAGCAGAACCCAAATTCACGCAATATAAATGGGATTTTTGGATAAAGACTGATGCCCCCCCCACCAAGTATCCCAGACTGTGGGAAAGAGCTTAAATATGTTTCCTTGCTTTTCCATCCAGCTATTTTGTTGAATGTATATTCAGCAGGGTGGTCCTCCTAACAAAAATTGAAGCAGATTTGACATCACAACAAGAGATCTTCGACTATTGTTGTCAAGTCTGGAGTGGGACATAAGCAAGCTTGCTCATGGACATCAGCCTCTAGGTTCGCTTTCATATCTCGTCAAAAGTCTTTTTGAGAAATACTGACATATCCTACTTCATGCCATCCCTTAAAGTTATAAGCCAACAACAATGAAATGCAATTTTACCTATTAACGATGACTTTTGTGTAATTACAAACAAGTGGTTTAATGTTATCGTGTGTTATCTTGATGCTGTGTGAATATCCAAAAAGAGGTTTATAAGAGAAGCAGCAGTGATAACAAAATTAACAATTTAGCCATTATAACAAAGACAACATTATGACCACTGGCAATCACAGATGTACCCCTGTTAGGCGTTGAGGATCGCTGGAACTGGGGTGATCAAGGTTGGGGTCCATGAGAAAAAAAGGTTCCCAAAGAGGCCAAGGCTGAATAGAGGTTGAGAATGCCTGTGTTAGATCATCGTTTCATCATTTCCGGGCTTGTTAGCAGTGGCCATTTAACCGGCTCATTGGGGGAGATAAACCCCGGACCTAAACAAAGCGTTCAGACGTTTAATTCGGTA